GTGCCTTAACCTATGAGAGCTTACATAGCGGGGTGGTAAAAGTTTGCTTAATTTGTGCTGAGGATCGTTCATTATATTGCGAAATGTTGCTGTACACATATTTTCATGGTGGTCTTTCACAGTTGGAAGATTCATAATAGCTAAGGCCTGTTCGTATTGCATACCAGGACAAGTGATTCTCATGGATCTTTCCTGAATAATAAGTGATAATAAGGTAAACAATAAGGTAAATAATAAGTGATAATAAGGTAAACAATAAGGTAACTAATAAGTGATAATTAGGTAAACAATCTGGACCAGGACCTCAGTCATTCCCCTTCTTTGATGTTGTTCAGTGGAATTATTAGAATGGAGGGTCAAAGGAACAAGGACTCGGGGACCGTAATCTTTGAGGGAATGCATGACTTTGTGGCGGTGAAAACCAGTCCTTATTTCAACTCGTGATATTTTTACAGAGCTAGCGCAGGAAAGGGGAAGAAAAGTAACACAAGCTAGGATTTCACTTACTTCATACGCAAGGCTAAATGCTATTACACTTCATTTTTTGTTTACCTACTCTTTTAAAAGAAACCTTCTTAATCTGTGTTTTCTGTTATGACGCGCAATTAGAACCGGCTAGAAATATCGTGTTCAGATCGATGTCATACTCATAAATAGGCACACACTTATGGTACACGGGTATGGAGTGATCGTAACATTGTGCCATCGTGATCAATTTGGCTCCAATAATGATCGATGAAGAATTCTTCACGCAGGCATGCAAATCCCGTGATACTAAATCGCTCCTTTGTCTTGCCTAAGATTTTCTTTATGTCAGGATTTTGTCTGCAATAACCTGCCAGCGTTTATGCGGAGAATCCAATCAACTACTTCGGACATTTTCCAGACCTCCCATTACTTAGCAGTGAAAATCGTGTAGTAAGGTTTGGATACGAGGTAAGTGTATGAGACATAATATGTTCGTCCATGATAAATAACCATATTCTGATTGGACAATTTCGAATTTGGTCAATCAAAACTGTTCAATCAGGATGAAGACACATCGTAGAAGAACCCATTGGGAACTAAGACTACGAGCAGTCCTTCGCGTGGAGAGTCCGTCACGAAAGTCAAAGATAATTAGTGATGGTAATTGAACTGAGTGGAGTGCAATTTGGTCTGAAATCATGCGCGAGAGCATACACGTGAGAGCCGATCGGATTGCAAGGATCACAAACGATTTCAAAATGGATGCAATAGTGAAAAAAGAAAAAAAATTATTGCTTAATAGTGCGCCCCGCGAAACTCTTCACCTCACTCCCAGTGTTCCACGTGGCGCGCTTTCTTTTTAACATGTGCGATGGACTCTACCGAAAAAGAGGAACTGCTCGTATTCTAATAAGAACTCAAACTTTAAACACGAAATGGGCCTGAAGCGCGAGATAAGGCGAGCCACAAAGAAGCGATTGCAGTACTTTGAATTTGACTCACTGAGAAGTTTTCTAGATAAGCCATAGAGCGAACAAGTGTAATCCCGTTTTGTATTAGTTTACTTTCGAAACTTAATCATCATATAAAGGGTGAACATAAACCATAGGTATAAACCAAGAAAAGGAAACAGAAAAATTGAATGCTAGCAGTTGAGAAACTTTGGGATTCTTTTAAAAGAACACAGCTTATATTTTTACCTATTTTGCAGTGACTTGTATCTAAGGCCAAAAGATGACTGGCGGGTTTTTTCAAAATACATGGAAATCAAAATATATGAATGAAAGAACGGTGAACCGACGAAAGTCGAAAGGAAGACTTGCCTGTTTTTCTGGTCATACTACC